CTAAGAATTCAAAACAATCATTCAAATCCATATAACAACTTTTTTTTTTAAAAAAAAATTACATCTTTTTAGTAAATACTAAGTCATTAAAATAAATTTGAATTCAAATAAATGACATGTAATTCGTTAAACCTATTAGAAATGTGCTATAGTATAATTCGTGATATAAATCAAAAATCGTCAAATAAATTCGTAATATATAAATTCGTGAAAAAAAGCGCTTTCGACAAAATACTAAAATAGAGATCTATCGACAAAGACTACTCACTTCTGCCTAGCTTAATAGTATGAGATTGCCGCAGCTGATGCTCTCTGGTTATTTCAGTTTCCGTTTTTAAAAGCGCTATATGTTGAGTCACCTCAGATAGATTTGGCATGTGACATTTTTAGCGGCAATCATGGGTCGATTCGCCGTGTAACAGAAATAGTAGCGTAAGCAAAACAAAGCAAACGTTGCCACCGGCGGAAAAGAAATACAGCCAAAATTTGGGAGCCACGTAAGAGAATTATATATATTAGATATTTAGATCTATTGGTAAACAGAAGTGATTTTTCTAAGTAATCATTTTTTTAAATAACATTTATGTTGTTATAACGTTATATTGTTGAAACAAATTTGATGAGTTCACATCCTTAATTTAATATTTTCACTTACCAAACGGTAGGATATATTAAAAATTTTTTTTTTGCCTGCATCTCATTGTGCATGAAGCTGATCCTTAAGTTCTAAATCATTTAACAGATCTCTTTAACTGTAATTTATAACAGTATATTAATGTTATTTGCTCAAAAATAATAATTGTTAGACCACCTTTCTAAATAACTTTATCTTAAAATGTAAGGTAGATTTACATTATAATACTAATAAAAAAACAGCAATTCTCTTAGTTTTAAACTCTTGAATTAAAAGCGTAATAATAGCAGTACAGGAAAATAACTTTAAGTTAGGGATTCAAAAATATTTAAAGAAAAGCATGACTTTTATTAATTTTATGCTGACTACAACCAAAACAATAAGGAGACGAATGAGGAAAAACTGGATCACACCACGTGATTTTCTGGCCAATAAAAATGCACCGACAACAATGGAAAACTGCGACACCATCATTAGAATTTTATATATAGTAAGAAACACTGTAAAAAATACCAGTTGTTTCTTAACTGTTAACTTTTTTTAACGCTTAACGAAATTTAACGTCATTTAGTTTGAAGTCATTTTGTTCAGAAAACGGTTTTTTCCTGTTTTTCATCCTAATTACAAACCGATAAAAACCGCAAAATGAAATTCCAGTTTTGGCCATGCAGTTTTGCGTCACGTAATGTAACTTTACCCTTGCCCGAATCATTTTACGACTATTTTCCGTACTTGCTCTTACTTTTTAGCAATTACTTGGTTTGACCATTTGACCATCGTATAAATGAAACTGTGATTTTAAATTATTGTCGAATCAATACAATAATTGAAGCGAAATTCTCACTGTCACACTTTCTTCATAATAAAATATTTGATCAGCAGTGGTTTAGGGGACAGAGTGCATACCCAGGTTCGAATCCCAGCGATGACTGGTCAATATGAGTTCTGCCGACATAAAATAATCACATCTGGTGGTAATACAGATTTACTTCGTAATTTTTGTAATTGAAATCTTATTCCCATCAGGCTTACTTAAGGAGTAAAAACATGTTTTGTAACGATAAAGAAAAAAGAAAGAAAGTCTGATTTCGGATTTCCTTCAAAAAATTTAACGGTTTTGCACAAACAACAGTAAATTTTAAGAGATTTTTGTCTACAGTACATTTATGCTTTTTTTACTGGGAAATTAACTTTTTAGCTAACGGACTTAACGGAAATTCTTAAGTATGTTTAAATAAATTTTTGAAAAAACCATATTGTGTTAAAATTGTTTTTCATCTCTTAAATTAACCTTGAAATAAAAGTTGTCATTTTTATTACATCTAGAATTAATTACAAATGTGTCGGATAATAAAAATCATACCAAAATACATTATTTGTGCCATGATTTGTCGTTAAATTTAAACAAATTCTTATACTACACAAAATACGTTTTTTTTTTTTTGGAAAGAACTTAGAATATTTTAAAAATGTACCCTAAGACTTATATAATTTAAAATTAATTTTTATTGAAGTGATATTGAAACATGTTTGATATATTTTGATTTTTCCCAATTAGTCTGAAATATCACAAAAGAGAAACAGTTCCAACAAACAATAACAATTCGGCTGTTAATTTTAATATTTTAAGTAATTTTGGGAGACCGTCAATTTAAAGACTCTAAAAGGAGAATGTCAAATTCGAAGTAACATAATGAATGCGATGATAAAAACAATAAAAAATATCCCATAATGACCATCATTTATATCTTTAAAACATTATATTTTTAAAATATTTATAAGAAAATTGTGCCAAAAAATCTACACATTAGAGGTTGTAAATTAATATTTAAGCAAAAAATTCTAGACCTAACAAATCACTGCTGAATAAAATAGGACTGAAAGCATCAAAACCTATTTGACTGCTCAAAAAGGAAATAAACGACGGTTATTTAAATATCCTCTAAATTTTATTTAAAAAACAATTTTTTCTTCATATATTTCAACCACACTTGCTTCATTGGTGTCTCCGTGGAATCAATAGCGTTTTTATTTTTGTCCATCTTAAAAAAGGATTCCGAAAATATATATATTTAAAACTATAATTTCAGAATGCCATGTTGTATACTCCTTAGTTAATTCTGAGGAAAGTTCTAATCGAGATAAGATCTCATCGTGATTTTGTCACATGAGCTCACCTAGTCTTTCTTCTTAAATGGTTTCATTTGATCTTCGCTTTAATTCTATGTGCTCAATCTTCTTAACATAATCTTTGAAATGTTTAAAAGACGTTTAAAAAGTAAATTTTTTGATTGTGATTTCAGAAAATAGGACAATTCTTCATCAAAGTATTCGAAAGTATGTCGATTACATTCTAAGTATGTCGACATAGATAAAGGTGTAATAAAACGATCAACTCTTTATCTATTTCGTTTAATTTGTATGTGATTAAAAATTTGGTTTTAATTATAGTTGTGAATAATTAATTTCAAATTCGTTCAAAGAATATTCTTTTTTTTATTATTTAAAAATATTTAAATTCGTTTCTGACATTTTTACTCTATCTACTCTACTTTCAATAATATCGTTTTTTATCTAAAATGTTTTCTTTTTCGGTTCTTTTAAATTTGTTTTATATTATGTTTGCTGCCCATGAGCTATTAAAAAAATAAGTTGCGAAAAAAATATATTAAAAGTACTATAAAGTATGGAATAAATGGTTATCTGCAGGTTTTTTAAACTACACATACACTGAAGAGCCAAAAAAACTGGTATAGCTGCCTAATAACGTGTAGGGTCCCTGCGAGCACGCAGAAGTGCCGCAACACGACGTGGCATGGATTCGATCAATGTGTGAAGTAGTGCTGGAGATAATTGTCACCATGAAACCTTCAGGGCTGTCCATAAACCAGTGGGAGTAAGAGGGGGTGGGGATATCTTCTGAACATCACGTTGCAAGGCATCCCAAATATGTTTAATAATGTTCATGTCTGGGGATTTTGGTGGCCAGCGGAAGTGTCTAAAATCAGAAGAGTGCTCTTGGATCCTCTCCCAGACATGAACATCATTGAACATATTTGGGATGCCTTGCAACGTGATGTTCAGAAGATATCCCCATCCCCTCTTTCTCCCACTGGTTTATGGACAGCCCTGCAGGATTCACTGTATCAATTATATCCAGCACTACTTCACACATTGATCGAATCCATGCCACGTCGTGTTGCGGCACTTCTGCGTGCTCGCAGGGGCCCTACACGATATTAGGCAGGTATACCAGTTTTTTTGGCTCTTCAGTGTAGTTCAACTTATGATGTTAAAAGTAATTTGCTACTTTCTTTCTTGGAAATCATTAATTATTCCACTCACATTCTAAACAATAATAAAAAATACTTTACTGATTTTCTTAAATTATTACGCTATCAATTTTATTCTATTCTATAATTTGTATTTATAAGCTAACGAAAATAGTGATGAAATAACTGCTTTAGCAATCAGATATGTCGCCCTCATGATTTTACTGCTTCATGGCTCTTCATTTCCATTAAGTAATATTTTATAAAATAGAAGTTAGGTAAATAAAAGTAAGTACATTTTGTTAAAATGAAGTTACTGAATTAACTTTAACACATAATATTGAACAAATTTCCCAAGAAATTTTCAAAGTTTCAAGGCATTGGCTTCACACTAAGCTTCATTTCAAAAGCATAGCCTAATAAAAGCATGAATTTATGGAACAAAAATTAAAGTCGATGAATCTAATAGATTTCAATAGTTGTTAAATCTTCAATTTTGTTAAGTAGACTTAAAAAGTAATCCGATAGACTTAAAAATAACTAATAGATTTAAAAAATAATCTGACTAAAATAAATAATTATATTTTTTTTTTCGAATTTTTAACGGAAATACAAATGACGAAAAATATACAAATCCTACATACATACATATTTGACTTCGGAAAGATCTTATGGAGAAAAAAAAGAATAGTTAAAAATAAATTAAAGATAAATAAATAAAAAAAAAATTTGAATTTCGAAAATAAAAAACTAAATTGAAATTTATATTCTTTATGCAAATAAGCTTCTAATCAATGACGCCTTTTTTTTCTTTTTTTTGTACTTTACTTTGTTTTTGAAAAGTAAGTATGTCAGTGTTGCCAAATTTAGGTTGATAAAAACTCTCAATTTCGGGGCTTTATAAATCAAAACTATACGTAGATAAGACTTGGATAATCTATAGCACTTTGCAAATTTTTATGTATTTCTTTGTGATTAATAATCTCTTTATTTATTTTTATTTTTTTAACAGAGGGAAAAACAAAAATAAGCTTTAAATTCCTGACTTCGTTTCCGATTTAATTCTAATTTGTCTTTTTCTCTTTTCTTTACAGTATTCGTGACAGTGATTTTGCTCTACAGTTCTAATAGAGTTGTTGGTAAGTAAGAAAATTTAATATTTTAAAAGGTAATATTTTAATTATAATTTATATCATAATATATATTTGTGTGTAATACATGTATTCACCATTCTTAGAAGTACTAAAATTTAATGATTATATTTTGGCTAAAATTATAATTAGAGTGAGAATGTAAATTAAGTAATAAAAATATTAAATAACTTAATATTAACAAAAATATTTAATTTTTAAAATAAATTTTGGGTGAACTAGTTTTTGAATTGTTTATTGAATATTTTAGATTTGTTGAAATCGTTCCCGAGATACAGCGAAACCTTAAAACTTGAAAATACAGTTAAAAAAACCTAAAACATCTATTTCTTGATTTAAAATTCGATTCTCGATTGATTTTAATATTGATGGATTAAGATTACATCTCAGCACGTGAAAATTAATTCATTAGATAAAAAGTTATTAAGGTGTTCCGTACTTTTTATTTAGCTCTTTTTTTACAACTTATTCAGTGCTTTCTCAAACATTGTCAAACGTTGATTTGCTAAAAATACAGTGTCTCGTAGTTCAGCGGATATATTTGATTCTTAAAAACCGAAAGTTATTTTGAAACAACATTCTGTTCCATTATTTTCACTTACGTGGTCCCCTATCTAAGGAGAATAATCTCGTGACGCGCTGTTGTTTTATCAGTTATTCTCAACCATGCTAATGATCCCGAGACTGATGGATTTTTAAAAGTTAAACAGTTAAGTTCCATTCTCACTGCATGCGATTCACGCTCTTCTGATCTCCACCGACGGAGAATGAGAACCTGATTGATGAAATATATTATCCAGCGAAAAACTCGCCAGTCTGATTCCCTTTCTGTCTTAACGACGTCCGGAGGATCGTGAATCGCATACAGTGTGAACGGTCCCTTAGAACCTCATTTAAAATTGGGCAGTTACAATTTTGCATTAATTAGCTATTCCTAAATGTTCATGGTATAAAAAGTATATAAACTTACGATGCCAGTACTTTTCCTTGTTTGCTTAACATTTACCATGAATAAATCGTATGGTGGGAAAATTGGTAGGGAAAAAGAGATAAGTATGAGTTAAGAATTACGTAGTCATTAGCTAGATTTGAAAACAAAAAATCTGTTTAATAAACTGACTCACAAGTCACTGTATCATGTCGTCACACATTGAAAACACATTTAAAATATGATAGAAAACTGGTTGTGATGTCATGATATAGGAATAACCACCATTTTCTCTTATTGATTAGTCTAAATTATTTTTCCCATGTATTTTATGAGTGAAACATTACTGTAGGTACATTTCAGAGTAATTTTGCTGATTTTTTTTTTGCAGTGAAGCATTTTTGAAAACATATCTTTATTTATTCATTTTAAGTTTCAATATTCTCTGCTTTATTATCTAGAGAGTCTTCTATCATTGTATTACTTAGTTGGCATGACTAAGGTGTAAAAAAAGTTTAGAAACAGTCAAATATCTCAAGAAATATACTTCAAATCGAAATAGTGAAAATATAGAAATTCAGTTTTTTTTTTTTAATAGCTATAGAATAATACAAAATTTGAACTTTCACCCTTATCATCTGGGGTCGGAGTGACTGCTACTTTGATATCCTAAATATTAAATCCTATTTTTCGTAGCAAATTTGGACTCTCCAGAAGAAAAAAATAACTCATATTTGACATATAGATTATGTATTTTGCGTCACAGATGACGCTGCAACAAAATAGGATACAACTTGTTTAAAACGGCGAATCTTAAGTCCCGTTAGATTAAGAGCATACAAATAAACATGTTTTAATTTATTTATTTTTAACAGTTTCAAAAGTTTTTTTTNCTCGTACAACCGCTTCACTGGCGGCAGCAGACAACTTTAACTTGGTGGCCCATTGGGTAGATACAGACTGACGGTATGCGGCTGTTTGTAATGTACCGGCCCAACACTTCCTACAATGTTGGCAAAAGTTCATAGGGTGGCCCAGCAATCAACCCAGCTGACAGTAATTTGCACCTTCACTTTTCAATCAGTACCGTCAGTAATTTCGAAGATGGCCAGAACTTATGTTTTTGCTGGGATAGTACATATAGGAAAAACCACCATGTTCCCTTATTGATTAGTCTAAATTATTATTCCCATGTATTTTATAAGTGTAACATTACCGTAGGTACATTTCAGAGTAATTTTGCAGTGAAGCATTTTTGAAAACATATCTTTATTTATTCATTTTAAGTTTCAATATTTTCTGCTTTATTATCTAGAGAGTCTTCTATCATTGTATTACTTAGTTAGCGTGACTAAGGTGTAAAAAAAGCTTAGAAACAGTCAAGTATCTGAAGAAATATACTTCAAATCGAAATAGTGAAAATATAGAAATTCAGTTTTTTTTTTTTAATAGCTATAGAATAATACAAAATTTGAACTTTCACCCTTATCATCTGGGGTCGGAGTGACTGCTACTTTGATATCCTAAATATTAAATCCTATTTTTCGTAGCAAATTTGGACTCTCCAGAAGAAAAAAATAACTCATATTTGACATATAGATTATGTATTTTGCGTCACAGATGACGCTGCAACAAAATAGGATGCAACTTGCTTAAAATGGCGAATCTTAAGTCCCGTTAGATTAAGAACATACAAATAAACATGCTTTAAATTTTTTATTTTTTTTAACAGTTTCAATTTTTTTTTTTTTTTTTTTTTCTTNTTTTTTTTTTTTTTTTTTTGCTATCTAATATACTTTGTGAAACCGCCATTTTAAGCAACTTGTGCACCATTTTAACTTTTGTTGGTTACAGCCCCTCGGTGAAGCAAAGTGCATAAACCAATAAGTTGAACAGGGATTCTTTTTTTCTTGAGAATCCGAATCTCAATAAAAAATAGCGATCCATATTAAAAATTCAAAGATAGGGGTAGAATTGCATGGCTTTTAAAACTAATGAATTTGTCGACCTTCACTTTTTTGATCCGATATAAATTTCTGGAAATATTTGACAGTTTCCAAACTTTCTTTTACACCCTGTAAAGTTTGCCACACTCAATTTGAAGTGCACGCATAATGCATTTACATAAAAGAACTCGTTTATTTGGAAATTGGAGTCTCTGCCAAGTACTTCACCCTAGAACTTAGTCATGATAATTCCTCAGTTTTTTAATTTTACTGAAAAAAGTTTTGAAACCTTCTAATCTTTAATTTCATACTATAATTGTTTTGGGAAAAATATCGCGTTCAAGCAACACTACTTAATTTTAAAAAAATTATAATTCTTAGTGCATTTTTTAAAAAAATTGCAAAACGTGTGATGCTAATATAATAATAACAATGTGTGGGAACGTTCCGGTGGCGCAGGAGGTCAAAGCGTTGCTCACACCGCTTGTGGAGAGTTGGGTGACACGAGTATGATCTGGGCAAACAACAAAACAGTCCATGTGTATACGCAGCAAGGTGCACGTTAAATTTGTCGTGTCTGAAAGTCCTCTCTCAATTGGTATTTCTAAACTTCAACACACCATTTCAAAGAAAATTGTTTTACATTGACTCATTTAACATTATGAAAGCTTCAAATTTGACATTTTGGTTGGAAAAAATACTTTTAAGGTATTCACTGAAAACTTTTACACTAATTTATGTTAATTCTTGTCATTACCCAGAATTGCAAATTCACTTTAAAAAATTTAACAGGAATCTAATCTAAAATTAATTATTGTCTGAGCTTTAAGTTTAAATTAGTGTTATGGTCCCATGTCTTTAGAAATGCCCATTATAGTTTTTGTATTCATAGCTTTCACTTTAGCTTCTGAAGTTGGCTTGTATCTCTAATACCGATCATCGACCGAACTATATCAAAGAGAGTTAAAACAAATAAGCAACTTCTAAGATAGAAACAAAAAAAGCAACAACTAAAACCCAACAAAATAGCCTGTGTAGTCTAGCTATCTAATCAGATGATGGACCAGGCAGCATACACAGATACAAGTATCGCGCAAGCAGACTTAACTTCGACGCCCTATCGCAGCGTGCCTCTGACAGCAATGTGGCTATAGTTTCTCATTAGTTGATGCCACCGAGGAGAGCAAAATAAAGTACAAATATTTTCTTTGTTACTAGCTCTGTTCTAGTGTGGGGTAGAATGGTCTCCCTGGTAACGAGACTGTTCTGATGCGTATGCTGTTCGATCTATTTTTTTCCCTTTTTTTATATCCCCGTAAGATATAGAGGGAAATGCTTGATTTTTTCCCCTTCATTCCCGGTGAGGCTACAAGTTCTTTTTAAGAAACGATAACTTAATTACTTATGAACAACATTAATATGTAATAGGCGTTTTTCTCCAAACTGATGAAATTTTTTGGTATTTGTGGAAATACATGTTTTTTTTATCTTTATGGGCTGGTCTTGATTGCAATTTGTGAAAGAAATATTTTCTTTGCTAGTTCATAGGAACTACTTGGTTTTTATTGTTTTTGCTATGATTAATATGAAAATATTGGGAAAAACTATCAATTGTGTTTGTTTTAATTACTTAATTTGATTGTTATTGTTGAGTCGTAAAACCCGGTTCAATTTTTTAAAAAAATCAGGCGGCTTTTGAAAAATAAAATTTTTAATTTCGTTAAAAATTTTCCTGATTTAGAATTATTAAACACGTGTTATCAAAGACATCACATTTTTAAGAAAATTCTACATTTGAGAATACTTTTTTGCAACATGTGTGAACCACAGCAACTTCTTCAAAATTTTAAAAACCTTAAAGATTCGGACTAAAAAGAGTGACCAAAATATGTGGTGTATAGCAAAGCCACAGTTGTCACAGCACTAGTTTTTTTGTTTTTTTTTTCTCCAGATGATTTGGCACTACTTCTGTTTTTTGATGAAGTTGAGTTTATACATTGAAAAAAAATATGGACAAAACTGCAAGAATACGATATAACTTACCATGTTTCTAGCTTTATGGGAATACAAAACTCTGTGATTTTTACCGAAGCACTTTGCTTATGATTTTGGTA